GGGATCAAACAACAGAAATAATCTTGTATTTCTTAAATTTAAGCTTGTATTGTTCCCAGAAATGAGTTGGATTTTGAAACCATTTCAGACAACTAATAAGAAAGCAAACAAATGCCGGATTGGGTGCTGGAAATCAAGCAGACAGATGCATTTCTAGCAAGCTGATAGGTGCTGGTGAATGTGTAGACAGATAGATTTCTCATTAGACAGACGTTTAATTCAGAATGTGTTTATAGCCACTCTAAATGGTCTGTAGCTCTGCAGAAGGTACATCATAGCAATTCAGTCTGCAGATGACAGACACAGATAATTGTGGTGAAGCCTTTGAGAAAACTGCTTAGGATTTTATAGCCTGTGGCATGTGGGGGAGAAAACTGATAGCTACTATGTGACTCAATAGAATGCTTAACAATTGGTGGCAGATTTTAGCTTTCTGGTTGGGCTGTTGGTAATTGCTACCTTAATTTGATCTAGGTGACCTGGGGAGATCATAATTTCCAGAACAGGCTTTGCTTTCATTGATGAAAAATGTGACCTTGGACTACAGCTTTCAGAGTGCAAGACAGTATTAGATGAGATATGGATAATAGGAGAAATCTGCACTCTTCTGCAATGAAGAAAATCCACAGTTAAAAGACAACCAAAACCAGAAATCTACCCCAAAACAAAATGAGCAGCTGTTTCTTAATGGTGTGTGGGTTTCTGACAAGAAAATAAACATTAATGGATCTCCACCAATAGCCTTAGAAACTAGCACATCACTTTAGCAGCAACATAAATGTGCACACTTCGCTGCATCTATTTATTTTTCTACAAGAAATGGCCGCTTCAGATAAGCTCCTAAACTCAAGCATTTATCAGGTACGTAGTAGTCTGTGCTGTAGCTTCAAAATGGGGTCACTTTCCCATGTCTTATCTGTCATAAGAAGTAAAAAAATAAGCACAAGTTCCCATTTTGTATTTTTTAATAGAGTAGGAGCTACTGGCTTCCTGATAAATGTTTTGGGCTGAGTTTTGTGAACAGGTTTTGTGAACTGAAAGTGAATGGTAATCAAAGAGCAGTCAACACCACAAGGAAACAGAATGTCAGTTACTTAATTAGGAGCTTTGCAGTGGTTATTAATAGACAAATAGAGGAAGAAATTGTTCATTCTCACGTTTGTCATTGTGGATGGTGCATAGGTACCCTCTTGGCTTTGCAGGCTGGGAGATGAGACTGGAATTGTTACCTATGGAAGCAGTTGGCATGGCTCAGCTCCTGTGTGAAAAGCCCCATTTCTTAACTCTGTTCTGTACGAAAATAGTATTTTGAAACACTGTTCTATCTTAGCAGAGATGGTGCAGAAGACTTCCAGACCTGACTTTGTGGTAAGCAGCCTTTTCTCTTGGTCCAATCAGTTTTTTCTTTTACCGAAAGATGAGTTTCTGCTTCTCAAATTTCAACATTACCTTCCTTCTTCCTCTCTCAGGCTTTAACCCCAAATACTGTGCAGGATTCATGAAAGAGACCCAAGCAATATGTTCTCAAAGGCCCTGTCTTTTATGGGATGAGTAATATAGTTAGGAAAAAAGGAAAACCTTTAGGGAATATAATCCCATATTTGGGTCAAAAAGAAACATATTCTGTATTCCTTGAATCCCTGTCTAGAGGAAAATAGCCTCTAACAACCTTGTTCTTTTTCTCTTTTTTTTTTTTTTTTTTTTTTTTTTCACCCCCATTGTACAGTAGTAACATCTGTACTCTGGCAGCACATCTAGGATTTTTCATTGACAAGTCATTAATTTGAAAACTTTTACCAATTTATCCCTGGCTCTTATGTTCTCCATGTTTTGGACTAAAGAGAAACTTTAAAGCACGACAGGAATGAAGACACAGAAGAATGAAACCCTATTTTGAAATCCAGTCTCTTTTGCAGAGAGCTTGCTGCTGTTTAAAGATGCTGTCATGAAAAGGGTACTTCTCCTCATAGATTACAGGTTTGTGTTTCTGCAACTTCAGGTTCACTTGCAGGTCTATCACATCCTAGGCAGTTGCTGAGTTGTCATCCACCATTATTGTGTGGACAGGCAGAAGGGTACTGGGTCATTGAATCTTCAGAAGGGAGTAGTGGCCCTCAGTTCTGGGCAGAAATTCATCTAGCTGCAGTAAGAGCTGACATGCAAAAGGTCAGATTACTTGACAGCAGACTGTCCCAGCAGCTAAGCTGCAGCCGGTCACAGTAGAGTCACCACTGGTCGGCTTCAGTGCTGATGGGGAAATGAAGGTAGCAAGTGATGCTGCTCGTTACCATCTTGACAGAACTGAAAGCTATCGGCTTTTTCTCCTAGAACAAATACGTTGTAGTATGATTTCCAGTGGCTTTTAAAAATACACTTCTGTGCCATCTTTATTCTTCTCCAGGAGATGTGGTTTTGTGCTAGTAGTGTTGTCTTTGGTGGGAGCTGGTGTTGAATCAAGGAAAGTGTAGCTTACAAGGGGGCATCTGAGCATAACTCTCCTCTGCCATACTAATTAAGATCCCGCTGCTTTAAAGAAAAGTGGATTCCAGTTGTGATGATTAGATACACTTTTTGACTGAGAAACACTACAAAGAAGCAGATGAAAGGTGACTAAAGGAAGATTTAGTGAGCGCATTTGATTCTGTATTCAAATTTTATGAAGTTATTTTGAATTGATTTGTGGATAAATAGTCTTTGTATCCATGGGGAAGTATTTAACATGGGGTTGGAAAGGGAAAGATTTTTGAAGTCTGTAGAGTTGCTTTGTTCTGTTCTCATTTTTGCCCTTTTTCTGCCCCCAAATATATATATATATATATTTTTTATATTGTGGTCATTGCTCTCTTTTTCAAAAGGAGAGGGGAAACTTTTCTAAAAAGGTTGAACTGTCTACTCCAAGAAATACTCTTTTAATTAAACCATATTTTCTGTATCCTATCTCTTGTAGCCATGGTCTGCAGTAAGAGCATAACCCTAATGAACTGTTTTGTTTTATAAATGCTTTATTGTGTAGAATCATACAAAGAGATGCTAAGATGCCAGCAGAAATTTACTTCCATAAACATCTCATTCTGTAGATTTACAAAGAATATTTTTTCTTTTATGCAATGCATATGTGATGAAACCTGATAGTTGAATTTCACAGATCTTGTTACCGACATATGCTTCAGATTTACTCGTAAAATACCATCATGACCTTTAGCAGGGAGTTGAAGAAGTCACAGGAGATCAGAACTTTACTAGTATTGCACTATCTGATCATGGTAGCTGTAGCAGATGAGAATATGACACAGTCAGGATCTCCCGGGTGCTCTGATTACAAAAATGGTTGTTTTATTTAGTAAGATACAGAAGTTAGGTGTTTTATAGAATAATTTGTTTTTTTCTTTATCCAGTCCTCTTAAGGAGATGAAATGGAGTGTTTCTTGGTAACTTGGTCTGCCTTTCTTGTTCCTGTCTGGTCCTAAAAGAAGAAGTTTTTGGCTTACATATCTGTGTAATAGTCAGAGAATTTCAGATAAGGAGAGCAAGTGAGGCTATCCAGTTTAGGGAGTTGTAAGTCACAAAACCAAAGTAGTGGTAGATTTGAGCTGACTGGTGTAGTGTCGTGCCGGAAGCCAGCAGAACAGCCGCAAGCTATTTGGGAAGCTCTGTGTGGGAAGGAAAAAGATGTTATAGATAACCAGCTGACTATTATTCCAGTTATCAAAGTTAATAGAAATGGTGCTTGGCTCCAGTCTGTGCCGGAGGTGTGCCAGGCCCACGTTCCTGGCTTCTGCATCCTCCTAAACCGGAGCGCAGGTGGAGCGTGGTGTGGAGCACAGGGTACCTGAGGGTGCAAGAGCGCAGGTGCGGTTCCAGCAACCTAACAGCACACGTGCCATTAGCATTTGCTAGTGCAAGGTAGCATCTGAGCAATTATGACTTTTTAATGTTTTTTTCAGACATACTCAAAGTAGAAAAAAACTGCATTTTATAGTCATTTAAAGACAATTTTCTGTTGACATCAAGATGCTTCTGTATTGTTGATAAATGTCTTGGTTCTTGCCACTTCTTCCTATATGGGCAGTAATTAAATCAACACTCAGGTTGTTTCAGTTCAGCTTCGTCTTCATTCTGTTCCTTGCCCCACTACGTCAGCAGGGTTGACTGGTGTAATTTTTGTTAATTCCAAGTGACAGTGAGTTTAACAACCTTCTCTATTCTTCGTGTTGGTGTGCCCCAAAACTAACACACAGGTTTTTTTATGTTTTGCTTTACATAACATACTTAACAGTTTTTATTCATAAATTAGTAGTTGTAGAGAAGAGGTTTTACTTCATTAAAAAAAGTATTAAACTGTGTGATTAATTTTTTTAACTACAGGCATGGATTTCTTATCATGCTATTTTATCAGTGTAGTTTATAGTTTGGGAATAGCATGAAAAGTAGCTGGCCTGTATAAAGAACCTCTTTCAAACTTCAGGAAATACTTCTTTCCATAAAAATCTAGAAATCATACCTCTCCTGATTTTACAATAGATTGAAATAATAAACTGCCCTTAGATTGAAAAAAAAGATAGTTACATATGAAAAATAAATGATATTTAAAAGCTTTTGAAAACTTGTATATTTATTTTTTTAAAAAATACATATTCCTCCAAATAGTCTCTTTATGTCATGCAATTGTATTTGTATATTTCTCTCTCTAAAATGATACATGAGAATGTAGTGTTGATAAGTACTGCTTAAGCACTTTCATATAGACTGTGTGTGCAGACTGCAATTCAGTCAGTGTTCAAATTTTCTTCGTGCTCCAAGTGTTTTCTAGTCACTAACCTATTACTGACAGGGTGATTTTTGTATTTTTTTGTGTCTATGTGTATCAGTTAATTCTCAGAATCCCCAGACTTCGCTTGACAGCAGGTAAAGGCTATCAGCTGTTCTTTCACTCAAACTTCTCATTGTCAATCATGACAAAACTCATGATTTATTTTTTTTTCCTCTCCCTTTGTCTGCAGAAAGAACTTCCTCAGATAAAAGCTTTTTCTACTCTTTCACCTATCCCAGGATTCACAAAATGGGTTGTTGGTCTCCTCTCCTCACAAACAAAAGAACTGGAAAGAAACGGACTTTTTACAGAAACAGAATGTCAAGAAATCTCTGAGATCACAGGAGACTCTACTACTGAAACACTAAAGAAACTCTTAAATAACAATGAGTGGGTGAGATCGGAAAAATTAGTTCAAGTGCTCCATTCACCATTTATGAGACTCTGTGCATGGTATTTGTATGGAGAGAAACATCGTGGCTATGCTCTTAATCCAGTAGCAAATTTTCATCTTCAGAATGGCTCTGTGATGTGGCGGATAAACTGGATGGCAGACACAAGCCCTCGGGGCATTGCTGCTGCTTGTGGCATGATGGTAAACTACCGGTATTTCTTAGAGGACACAGCCAGTAATAGTGCAGCATACCTGGGGACGAAACAAATCAAAGCCTCAGAGCAGGTTCTTTCCTTGGTGTCTCAATTCCAGCAAAATAGCAAGCTTTAATTAAATATTATGAAAACTAAAACAAGCGTTCCTCACCTATAAAGAGCTGTGATATTTTGCAGTGTCTATATTTAAATGAGAACGTCCTTTGTAAAACAAATTTACTCAGCACAGTACAATGCAAAGTTACTGGATTATCATTTGTCTTGCTTACATTGCCACATATTCAAATCTTGCTTGGCTGTGATTGAGTCACTGCAAGTTCTAGACATCTGTTATGTGCATATAGGTTGGAGGTATGTATTAAAGGGTGAGTAAAATTCTTTCGATCGGTTACAAATCAGTGGTAACTTGAATGGAAAATACTTGAGCCGTACCATTATTCTTTTGCTAATAAACCTGTATAAACTGTGTCTTTGAAAGGAGCTGCACTTCTTTGTCATAATACTGTTATAGATAATTCAGTACCAAAGTATGTGGAAAGAAGTACTAAATGAAGGTAACTTTTGGGCCAAATAGATTAGCCATACAGCAGTCTGCAATTTTATTTCAATAATAGCTGTCTTTTTCACCCTCAGAAACTCTCATGTAGAACCTCTTGGCATTTTCCTTTTTCAAACCCACTAAAAGTCTCACTGAATCATGCTTTGTTGGAGCATGGAAAAGCTTTGCATTAGTGTTGTTGAGAAATCAGGATCTCAGGGCAGCAGATATGTAGTATTATATTTGCACTTTTGTCTACTAAAATAGAATGAGCAAGAAGGAAGTATTCAAATAAGAGAGGGGAATAAAGAGAGACTGATACTTATGGATCGGCTGAGAAGTTTCCAAATATGTGTATTATACTTAGGCTCTGGTAATTTTTTTAAGTTGATAAAGAGCTTTTTTAATAAAGAGGTAGGTGTGGTCTATAAACCAATAAAATAAACTTTCTCAATAAATTGTGTTTTGTGTATTTCAGCATGTACCTTCCTTCACTTAACAGCCCTCCTTGATAACAGTATCACCACAGCAGAAGGACCATCTTAACAGAATTTCATACTGTTTTGTAATTTCTGATTTATTACGTGTCTGGTCAAATTCCAGTCCTGTTTTCAAGAAAAGAATTGTACAGAGGAATTGAAAGTGATAGAGTTCCTGCTTGTGTATGAAAACAAGTGAAGAAAGCTGTAAGTGTCCAATTAGCCTTTCTCCTAAAATGGAATTATGTAATTGGATACAGTTTTTTCGTATTCATTATTAAAAAAAAAAATAAAAATCCTCCAAGCTGGTAACATGTTATGGGAATTCATTATACATGCCTTCCAAGAAGAGAAAATCTTGATTTAACTACTGTTCACGGGAGATATTGCAATGAGTGGATATGTTTGCTGCCTGTTATTCCCTTGAAAGCAAAAACATTTTTATACAGCAGTTGGTCATCAGTGGCAGTGATGCCACATTAGCAGCGGCAGCTCTCCTATGCCATGTTGCCTTCATTCTGTTTTCAAAAATAGCTCCAAAAAAACAGGCACCCTATTTAGTCAACAGTTTTCCATATATCAACAGGTTAAAGTTAATTGATTTTCATCAGATACAATTAAAAAAAAAAAATCGTATCATCCCCTTGTAAGGAAGATGTGTCCAGCAATTTTTCAGTGGCCAGATCCACTAAAGAAAAGGTGAGTTTCCCTTGAATTGTGATGATGGCATTCAGGTGCATCTACCAGGGGCAATATGGTATAAGCCAAAATAGAAGTTGTTTTGGGGTTTAGTGATTTGGTTTGTTTGTTTTTTTTTCACACCTCTGGATAGCTTGCTGAATGTGCATTAGGAAACAGTGTAGAAGTATAAAGAAATCTGAATATTATTTGATTATACTTTATTTATTCTCAACTGAGGAGCTAAGGACTAAGGATTAAACACTCAGAGTGTTGGAAGCTTTTAATGAGAGGCTTTGAACAAGCAACTCCATCCTGGCCAACCTGGGGAAATAACTTCAGAGTGATTGTCAATTTTTGCTTTTGCATCAGTAGTTACAGTAAGTATTCTGCATAACCACATGTATGTATATAGTCTTTATAGTACTTCTTATGGAAGGTTTTAAAATTAAAGTCTATGGCTCATCCTCAAGAAATGCTGAAAGTTGATCACAGGTATGGAACAATTGCATGTCTAGAGGAGACTTCAGGCTGTAAAAGAGACTGGGATGGAAGGCAGCTGGACAGCTGGAGTCAAGTGTATATAATTTTTCTGAATTAAGACTTATCTTCTGGCATGGCATTATTACATGAAGAACCTGGTTGCCTCTTCTATTCCAAACCCTCCATTTTAAAAAAATAATTTTGTTAAATTTCCATCTGAATTTTGTTAGGGAAGTATTAGACGTGGAACGTGAACATAAAGGAGTACACAGTGTGTGTGTGTGTGTGTGTGTGTGTGTGTGTGTGTGTGTATATTTTGCACCCGGTATGAAAAACTTAATAAAAGGAGCTGCCTGCTGTTTAGAATATCAGACCAAACAAACTAGTCACACACTGCTTTTTCTTTATTATGTGGCATGTGTATTTTGTTAGTTTTTTATACAGAGGCTTAGAGTGAACATATGCACATGCTGTATTGGTACAGAAACTTTTACCATACAAATTATTACAGGACACTTTACTACTGTTTTTAACAGTGGCTAGAATATGGTTTCTTTCTGTTGTTTGGTTTTCTAAGCTTTGTGAACTCCTTCAGAATTCAGGTTTCAAGGTGAAGTTTAGCTATTTATATGAATACGTACAAGCCGTTCTTGGGTGGGAGGAAAATAGAAAGAGAGCCCTCTCTGTTATGTTAAGCTCCTCAGGTATGAGGAAAGCAGGTCACTTACTTCAAATGGAAGACTTCTGAAATTGCAGTGATTTTGAAAGATGCTTTTATTTTTAAGCAGGAGGAACTATGGGGGCAATTAAATGTACACCCATCTGACCATAGTTCAAAAGAAGCTAACATTCCTTTATTGCAGATGGAAATACAATATAATCCTATATTCTTAACAGCTGGACATAAAGGATAATGAGATTTTTCTTCTTGTAGCCCCAAACAAATGCATGAGAATTGGTTCAGTGACATGAAGCGATAGCAGCTTATAAGGAGGGAAAACCAAAGCTGCTAATGCTTTGTTATTGCTTCAATTATTCCCTAGACCTCTGGCTTTGTATACCTAATACAGACACTACAGTTACACAGATCTACTCTCAGTTTAAGGGAAGCAGGCATATCTGTGGTTTTTTCTTCCTGCCATTTGGTCTTAAAATGAGGAAGATGGTCACTGGTATTCGGGTATGTCAAACCAGCCACAGGAGCTTCACATTCAAACCTGTACCCTGTGATGCCAGACTGATTGCTCAGCTGCTCACCGATGGAGTTTATTGGTGTGTCATGAACAGGTCTACCCCTTCTACCTCACCCCACGCGTATGCCACCTTTCTCTAGACACTGAATTAGCAGTCACTCCTGCATTAGCAGTCAATTTAATTTACTCATATTCCCAGTTTGAGATGTGGGGCTGAGAAGCAGATTACAGGCAAGGATGTACCAGCATCTTACTGGAGCTATTATGGATGAATGCATTTGTTATATGGCATCTGTTCTCCGTCAGAACCCTAGCACCTGCAGTTATTTCCTTTTCAGTGGTTGTCACGGATTTGGTTATGTTTTGCTTTCTGAAGTCACTTAATCTGTTACATTGATAAGTTAGCAATGTGAGGCCAAAAATTCTTACAGCGAGTTCTATATCAGAATCACAGTAAAAATTTAAGTGCAAAAGGATCATCTGAAGATGAAGATGGTACTGTCTCCTCATAAAAGCCATCAGCTGTTAAGTGCTATTCGTTTAAATTCATTAATGTCATTAAGTGTCTGGCAGTGCTTGGATTTTCCAACGTGCTACTAAAGAGTGATTTTAGCATGAACAATGCTGAAGAGAAAAATACCATCTGTACTACTTACTAGGACAATAACTATGTCAGTAGAGAAGGATCTTACTATGTCAAACTGAGTGTTCACAACTCAGAAGAGAGAAGTCCATTTTTCTTTTCTCCCCCTAAGTTTGTAAAAATTGTTAGGCCGTTCCCAAAGAGGATGCAGGGAAAGTTAAAGGAGAGGTCTTGTCCTTTAAGGAGGCTGAAATACTAAAAGTTCTTGAAGTCATTGCTTCCTGATACTACAGTAATGTGTTTCAAACAATGTATTTTAAGATTAATTTAGAGTGTGTAATACTGCACTGTGTTTCACTTTGAAATGCCAAGGCTGAAATCATGAGCAAATTTTCCCTTCCGTGGATTGTTCTTTGGATAAAAAAACAATACCTTCTAATTTTTCTGAATGGCTTCCCAGGTGATTTCATTTCATAGCAAACAGTGGTTTATTGCTAGCAATTGAGAGGTCTTGCAGCCGCACGTGGGCCATGTTACAGAGCTCCCTGCCCTGCAGCGTTGGCTCTGAACTGCCCGGCGTGAAAGCCGCCGTGGTACCTCACAAGAGAAGCTGGCAGGGCTTGTGTGCATCAGGGCCACCCTACAGCCCTCCCCTTACTGCCCCGAATTATCACAGGCTACTTAAACGTACCTCTTGGGAGTCAACTCTTTTGCAACTGTTACATTAGTGAAAGCATCCCTATAGTTATCCAGGCTTAAGCTGTTAGAAGTAATGGTATTGATAGCTGTAGAGTAATACCCAAAGGCATGTCTGACAGGTGGAAAACTGGCATTAATAAAAGGGCAATAGCTTAAAATCTGTCACTTCTTCCATTGTTTGGCTCTAAAATGAGACACAGTAAAGACAGAATTCTTTGGTAAGGTTACGGCTTTCTACTGCTGGCTTAAATCTACTTTTCAGCAGCCTTCAAAATTCTATTTTTATTCTAGTATTTGAACAGGGTGACGTTTAAGTTTGTGGGTAGGCGGCAGCGATTTTGAGGGCTGGTTTTCAACCAGTACTACTGAAATGAGCATGACACCCTAGGTCATGACGTAACACTGAGGCAGTAAACAGCGGTACAGAATGTGAAGTGTCTGGGCCATAACATAGCACTACTGCCTGTAGCACTTGACTTTTATGTGAGACTATTTCAGCCCTTGCAGCACCGGGAGGAGGCATACCATGTTCAGGTCAGGGGCTGCTTTGTTTTCAATGTCATTTATCTTCTCAGCTGCCCTACTCAGCACAGTCAGTAGCAAACAAAATATTCCTAAGTTACAGTGCCATTTGTTCTTCATAGAAACACACCTGACTGTGACTCCTGCTGGAAACCCCTCCACGATGAAGGGATGTGATTGCCTAGTTAAAAGCACAGGTTTTGTCAGTAGGCTTTGCCAGCATCCCTGGCCCTCTGACCTGCATCCCTGACTTTCTCACTTTTTCAGGACCTCCTTCTGTTACTGTTCCTGTGTGTCTAGAAAGGAAGACTGGCAGCTGGTTTCAGTGGCTCGCCTCCTCGGTAAGCAATGGTAGCTGCTGTGCTGCCGGATGCAGCATATAAAAGCATCACAGTTTCACAGCTGCATCCCACTTTTGAAAGCAAATCAATAGAAATGATGTTACTTTGTCACTTATGCTTGTTATATGATCAACTTACACTGTTTTTCTTGTCACAGGAGTAGGGCTTCTCTCTCTTTGTACAAGTTGTATGGAGTTGAGGAGGACCTGTGTTCTAGCATGTGCCCTGGATGGGTAATGAGAGGCCAAAGTACTGCTTGAGTGGAGGATGTTCTGTATATTTGGAGATGCTGAGCCATCACAGAGCTGTTAAAAGAAAAAGGAGTAAGTGCATCTTGAATCAGACAAAATTTCCATGTGTATCACTGTAGTTTATTTTAGTTATTGACTGTCATAACCTATAAAGAGTGCTTCCTGTGGTCTCCTTGTAGGAATGAGTACAAAGGTTTATTAATCTGTATAGAGTGAGGTAATGGTAGCC